TGTCTGTCTGTCTGTCTGTCTGTCTGTCTGTCTGTCTGTCTGTCTGTCTGTCTGTCTGTCTGTCTGTCTGTCTATTTATTTATTTCCCGGATATATTAGTGTGTGGTTGAAAGGGTGAATAAGGTATATTAACCCTTTATAGGGCACTCAATGAAATACTTTAAAATTAAAAAATTCAACCTTAGAGTCTCATTGGACAACATAATAAGACTTTATTCCAATTGTGACATTTTTGAAATTTTTTTATTTTCATGTTGAAAATCGAGTTCAATGAAGTTACCATATTTGGTAACTTGCCCTTTAGTGGTAAAAATGTCAAGGCCAATGAAGTGATCAAATTTGATCACTTGCCTTTAAGTGGGAAAACAAATTCCAATAAGTATACATAGATAAAAATACATATAATGCAGGTACTGCACTAGCGCCGGGCTGGTGAAAATGTTATCAGCATAGATGGCTGTGGTGGTGGGGAAGGACATGGTACTGGCAAGGACAGATACAATCTGGCTGGTGGCACCTAAGCCTTCTTGTTCAGGTTTCAGGGGAACATCATGGGCCTCCAGGGTAGTCCTGCCCTGGTTTAGCACAATGTCATGGATGAAGCCATCCTCAGATGCCCTGGCAAACAACTTTAAACCCCACTTGTCTGGCTTGCTTTTGATATATTGCCTCAGGTTGTCAAGTGGCAAAAATCACTCATAATTACTATTCATAAACTAAAAACACAGTGTACAATGCGTCACGTGTCAGCAAGTTGCGGCACCGTTCCAGTAGACATGGCCCCTCAACGGATGGTCTTTCCTCAATTCCGGTCAATGTATGCTCTTGAGTCAACAATAAACTAATAAACTAACTGAAAACGTAGACAACACTTTATTAGCTAATAAAAAAAATAAGCACATACACAAAAAAGTAAAATGTTGTATTACACTCACATTAGTAAATATTTCATACAGTTGTTGAAAAAAATATTTCAATAAAAAGCAGGGTTCCATAATGGTCCATGAGACACCTCTTGGTATTTCACTGATTTATTATCAAGTGTCAACGATTTATAGCTTCACCAAAAACAATTATCAACCATGCATCAAATGCAATTGGAAAGTGCACTGGTGCTTTTAAGAACTTTAACGATTCAACATTTTTATTAAAAAAACAAGCAGTATTTATGTCATTGGCCCAGTTTTTCTAGACATGTTCTTGGTCATTAAAGCAGGTTAATCGCTACATCAATTAATGATGAATGCTGAAGTTTAAACAAAGAGAAAAGAGTAATTTATTTGAACAGAGCTTATTAAAAGCTGTTAATAGTTTGCATAAAAATGTATTTTTTCTTGATTAATTTATTTCCCCCCACATTGCAAACTCTGAAAATAATTTAAGGATTGTATGGTAAGCACAATAGGCAAATTAATCTAATATTGTATTACTCCTTAGGTAAGATGTCACTAAAGCTCCTGAGTTTTATGGTTTGTAATTAATTCATTTCTAGTGGAATTTGAAATCCGAAGCCAGGTTCCTGATTGACTTCATGACATCCACCTGAGCCTTAACAATAAATGCTGGAATCAGTTTTCTTTTCTCATTAGTAGGTAATGCTGACGAGAGATGAAAACTGTTCCCCCCCATCAAGTATTCCACCATTGACTCTGATTGAAATATTACATTTTTACTCAATCTTTAAATAGCCTCCCAGCTTCTGCAAATGTTTTTTTGTTCCTTTTTGCATCAATGCTGCACAACTACTTCTCTGCCAGCTCTCTGATCTGCATCTCCTTTGCAGGAAATTGTATTGTGTTTGTCAGAGTGACTATACAAATTTAATATACTTGTAATACTTATAATTTGTCTCAAAACACATATTCTCCATCTTACTCGAAATTCCACACTTCTATTTCTAATTTTTGCAGAGTGAAATACAACATCCCATTGGCATTTCAGAAATATCTTGTTTTAGTGTGTGATTGCTGCTTGGTTTGTGGGTCATTCTTTTGACTTAATACTTGAAAGCCTGACCCAAGAACAATTAAAAAGATTTTTTTTGTTTGAAGTCTTTATTTGGCCATTTGACAAAAATATGAAAAAATAAACAGAAATCATTTTGGAATATTCATTATTTATTACCGTGCAATAAGTCAAATCTATTTTCATGTAGTCTTCTGTCCGCTGTTATCAGGTATATCTTATTGTGTACAACAGGGTTTTGAGCAAAGTTTTTACCATTAAAGGATGCAAAAGGTCTGAGATGCAAAACATTTCAGTATGTAACAAATATGATACATATGGCATTATAGGGTTAAAGATGAACATAATCAATAAAATATTTTAAAACTTTATACACAACTCAATTCAGGAAAAATTCCCTATTTTCTGTTAAATTAAAAAAATAATTTCTGTTTATTTGGGTTTATATTAGCAAGCCTGAATGACGCATGATTATTGTACATTAAGAGCTCTGCATGGTGAATAAGTCCATCACTCGTTTCTGTCTGTTGACTACAGTACACAAACCCTTATGGCTACAGTCTGTCAGAGCTGTCTCAGTTTTTTCAACAGTCCCAAGATTTAAACTCTGTAAAAGTCAACATGGCTTTATTTCTTCTTCGTCTTCCTCATAGTTTGAGATGGTGGCCAGTGAAATTGGGAAGTAATCACTGGAGATGTTGGGCTTCAGTTTGATTCTACGGACACTGGGGTAAAGTTTTGTCTGACTGGCTCAGCCAGTGGCAGGTCTATTTCCTGACGGTGCTGTTGCTGCGCTGGTAGAACAGAACGTAGGCTTGATTGGTCTGAAGCTGGTTCTCGGTGAGTGGGGACACACTGTAGGTGCGCACAAAAAGGAAAGTCACGACAAGTTGCCCCAGTTTTGAGCAACATTTTTCTGTTTCATTACAATATGGAGTGGTCAGAACTTTTCAGACTAAAACGTAATGCCATGCATGTGGTGAAAGTCTCACCTGGAGTCATTGTAGAAACACCAACCATTTTCATCTAAACAGCAGGCTGTGTAATGACCCATGTTCACTGTCCCTGCATGGTTGCATATTGCATATAAATCATACAGAACTGAACCTGCAGAGGAAGAAACATGGATACCAAGACTCAGAACTCACGTTTAGAACTTTAAATACACATGCTTTATCAGTTCAAGTAAACCCACAATAAGTACAGTAATCAGGATATGGTCTTCATACAGTTACAGTACACTATAACTTTAAGATGGCCTTGTTTAGTTTTGAGCTTAACAAAATTGCCACAAGAGGGCAGAAATTCACTAGAAGAGGTTAATCTTCCAACTCCTGCTCAAAGTGGATTGTTTAGTTTGTCTTTCTTTGAGCATTTGCATAAAAAATCAGATACTTGCTTGTACCAAATGATCGAAAAAAGATAGCCCTTAGTGGATTTGAACAGAGTAATAAACCCAGAATGTCTCTCTGAGTAACCATAGATACAAAAATACCTGTGCAATACATTCATGACGTGTATTCATTTAAAGGAAAGAAACAGAATGCTCTTGCCAATAACACAAATATTTGAGAGGTTGTAAGTTTGCACAAAATTTTAAGACAGTCATCTGCTCACCCAACTGCTTTTTTTTGGTTAATCAATTAAAGGAAACTGACTACATTACTTACATTCAGGAAGATGTTTTTTTAAGGAGTCATGTATATTGGACTCAATGAGTGACTATATTTATGCTAAACACAATAATAAAAACGATTATTTCTTTAAATTGCAGTGAACAGATCTGATAGAATCGAAGAGGCTGACTGAGCACATACACAATAATCATCTACTGTAGAACTGTGTATCTTTTTAAAGATTAAGCCAAGTGCACCGTTATTACTTAAAATGTCCTATTTTGGCCCTGAGGATGTCCCAAACTGTTCGTTCGGTCACCCCTGGTGTTCCTGCTGACTGTTTAGTATTTATATTCAAATATACCAAGAAGGGAAGTCATTTATGTTTTTGCATTGGTTAAGCAAACAAATCATATCTGGTTAAAGCATCCTATTTAGCAAGTTTATCTCATACGATATTCTTCCTCATTGAGTTTTTTCTTTCAATGACACAGCAATAAATCTACAAAGGTCATTTGCATATGTTAGCATCTCTTTCTCCTCATCTCTTCTGTTTCATCTACCGATAGTGCCTTAAAATAAAATCCCCCAAAACAGTTATTTCATATATTCATAATTCATCCTTGTTTGAAATCACATCCTTGCATTACAAGCAGCCAAACACAGTCAACTTTTGCGTGCCGGTGAAATGAGCGACTGCATCGAGCAGCAATTTACAGTGAGAAACTAAAACAAAGTTTACGTTACCTGAGTCGACTGGTCCATAGGGTCCAAGGTCCAGGTTAGTGAGTGGAAAAGACACGTACACCGTGCTCTTACTGATAGACCACCTCGATGTTGTAAAACGATTCAGATCTGATCAAGACTGTTAAGTATCAAAACGCATTTTTATACAAAAACATTTCCACTTGACATCATATAATACACGTTACGATGTTATATTTGTTGCCATGGATACGGATCACTATAACCTGGGGAAACCTCTGAATGGACAGCCGCTTTGTGCACTCCGTACGCCTGTTACACCTCTCACACATCTGAAAAATGGGGGGAGGGGGGACATATAAGGCTCAGTGAGCTAGAATCACACTGGAAGGCACACGCATGGCAGTCCATAGCTCTGGTTATCTGTGTCGACTTACTGGTGAATTCTCCTTGTCCAGTTTCTCCTCCTGAGAGAAGAGATCCAGGCACTCCCGTAGGGTCACCTCCCCTCCAGAGCTCCGCTTGGGGATTGGCAGCGACAGATCGCAGAACACGTCGAACGTGTTGGAGTAGTGCGAGCAGATCGAGCAATGCAGAGAGCTTCGAAGCTGGCCAGAGAACAGATCTGTGAGGAGAAGGGCAGAAGTGATCACCGACTGTCCGTGAGCTTATTCTGCCGATGGTACTGATGAAACACCACCCTGTCCTCCTCACCTACAATCACGCTGTCATCCCTCTCCAAGTGTTTTTTCCACATGGCAGCCACCTCCTCCGACAGTCTACAGGGAATCAGACCCAGAGAGCAAAATGTGGACACAGGTGGGCATTAAGATAGAAGAAAAATAGAGTTTTTCTTTCACACACACCTAAATCTGGCATATTTTTGCTCAGGCTCCTTCACCGCTCTGCGAGTGTGGGGTCTCCGGTTTATTTCAGTGTGCAGCTTGTCGAGTAGGAACCTGAGGAACTCCTGAGCATCCTGTTGACTGAATGAAACACAGAGGCAGAAAGATGTGTCACCATTCCAGGCGGTTGTTTATGCAGAGGTATCAAATCACTTATGTGCCACCGAAGGTGATACATGAGTCAGTCTTATAGCGCATATCTTGGAAATAGTTTGGTAGCATCGTCTTACAAACAGTATGTTTGCAAAGAGGTTCAATTGGATTGGCGAAACTTTTGTGAAGGCATGCCAATAACTCTGACAAAAAATCCGCATTTTTACCTGTAACCACTGAAGTAAGGCACCCCATCTTTGAAGATGCTGTAAAACTGACGTGGATTTACGACCGCATCGGCTTCATTTACGTCCCACAGGCCTGACAGCACCTGAGAGAAAGCTGGGACGCAGAGACAGGCAAACAATGAGGGGGGGGACTGACCATGTGAGGAGGGAGCAGCTGAAAAAAAGAGACGCGTACCATCCATGAGCTTGGCGTCGTCTTTTGAGAACTTCTCGTGCTTGTAGGACTTGAGGAGACAGTAGTTCCGCAGGCCACATGTGTGCGATAAACATTGGACCACTGCGTTCAGGAAACACTGAAACAAAAACACAAGACGTCGTGATGCAAAACCTACTCAGCAAACTTTGTAAGTCAGCCTCTCACAGGCTGCTTATGTCATCATTCAGCACTCACTGTGTTTCCTATGTTTCTGAGGCCCACCCTTCCGCTTCCCAAGGCGAGTGGCTCTTTCTGGAAACATAAAGTAACGCCAGAAGCTTTAGGCCAGCACTACGGTTCCGCCGCATGCACAGAGGGCCGTGTGTGTCTGACCGTGTGAGCCGTGGCTTTGGCCATGCTACATGTGACTGTCTGTCTGCATAAACCCTGCCATGTTAACCTGTGTGTAACTTTGGCAGGACGGATTTAGCCTTCTTATCTCATTATCATAACAAGAGAGTCTAAAACAAGGTCAGTCTCAAGCACTCATCCTATTAGAGGCCACAAGGAGTGCTGACAGGTGCGTAAACACGTGTGCGCTGATGTGTACTGCCTTGTACTACCTTCACATTATTTTGTGTGTGTGTTTGCAGTTTTTTTCTTCTGAATGTCTTCCTAAAAATAACACGAGTGAGAAGCAGAGCATTGAACGGAAAGGTGTTTTTTTTGTGTGTTTTGCTCACACCTCGTTGTCCGCAACCAGAAGCAGACCCATCAGCGATGTGTAGAGCACAGACTGGGAGATGTCGGCTGTCTCTCTCTGCAGGCCCTTCTGGGACACCAGCGTTCGGCACAGCGCCTCACAAGAGTTGTCCACGTTCACACTGCTGGAGCCGGGCATCCTACTCTAACGGCACACCCCGGTCTGAGGAAGGCAGCTGACAGCGATCCGAGACAGCGTCTCTTATGGTTTTTCACATGCAGGCAGAACGGTGAGAGGGATGCGGCGGGAGACTGTAAGTTGTGTGTCCAAGTGAATCCCCCCCCCCCCTCAGATCTTTCACACTCACAATTGAGTGGTTTGCTGCTTTCCCAGGAGAGTGACGGGAGTTGACATTCACAGCTGTGAGTAAAAACACAGGTCACTTGTGAATGAGCATCTATGAGCCCCGCCTAGCAAATTATTAAGGGGAAATTATCTTAAAGAGTCAAAACATTTGCACATGCAAAAAGAGACGCGTTCACAAACGGCTGAACCTACACAGAGTCAGTTATGCAACCAACAAGACATCACGCGCAACAACAACCAATCAATGCCTTCTCAGAGTCGGTTTCTGAGGTTAAAAGTCAACCTCAAACAGACTAAACAAGTTTCCATGGAACATCCAACATGTTTAAGAAGCATTCTGCCTTATTATACTATTAAATAAAATAATTTAAAGACGGAGAGCGACATGGACTCACCTGATCTCTTGGTCTGTCTATCTGTGGACAAACTGTCCCAACCAAACTGTTCCCATCATCTGCTGAGCTGTTAAAAATGCATAAGGGGACGTCTACAGTTTCACTGTGGGCTAGGACTGAAAGTCTACCTCTCTCCCCTGTCCTGTCACCGATGTCACAGAGAGAAAGGCCGGGAGGTAGAGAGAGTGAAAAACAGGGAGGGAGGGAGGATAATCATCTCTAATCTTTTCTCTGTAGATCTTGTTTGCTATACATAGACATGTCATTTGTGTACTTTCTAAAGAGTGCCTGAACAATCTTTTAAGTGTCAGTTTTATTAAAACACAACAACATAAACTCTTTTTTTCCATTACAAATTCACATTCATTTATACCGTTCACAGTCTGTACAGTCCTCAGCATCACAATCACAGAAAGCAAGACATGAAAAAAATCAACCCGGCAGAAATGTCTGTGCCCGTCCGAATACAATTCTTTTTTTGCACAAATAGTTCCATTTATTTTCTCTGCCGTCGTCTGCGGAGACCCCGCGGGTCACCTGGCGGTCAGCGTGACCGTCAGCGACTGGTGTGATCTGCCATGTCTGTGTCTGAGCTGAGGCTGAGCTCTGCGATGTGACACAGGGCGGGATCGGGGTGAGGGGAGAGCTGCGACTGGCTGGTCTGGGAGGTCCTGTCTCGCGACTGCACGATGGCCTGGCGCAGGCAGGTGATCCACTGCTGCTTGCTGAAGGAGTCGTTGGCCTGCAGGCTGTAAGGGTTCACTTTGGAGCGCCCTCTGCTGCTCACACGGAAGCAGTTCTTCACTGCAAGACGAGTGGCAGAAAGAGGAAGGAAGGAAGGAAAGTGAGCGAGAGCAGAGTTGTAGGTTTCGGTTCAACGAAACAGAGCGACGAGGTTATCTCTCTGCAAAGAAGCCTGTTGTGATGGTGTAGGCGCTGCTTAACTGATTATTCTTTTACTATACTGTATAGAAAACTTGAAATGAATCTATACATCGATTGAAAATAACCAGCAGCAACTGTCTCTTTTATCATTAAACCTTGCTGTAATCTTTCTGTCAGTGTTCTCATAGAGTTTACCTTTATCATTCCCCCCAGTGAATGCTCCTCTGAAGGTGCCGCCTCCACCAGCTTCGCCATCTGGGATCTCTTCCAGATTTATCAAAGCGTTGGGCAGTGGCTGTCTGTACACGTTAAACAACTGCCCGAAGTCCCTGTCCTCCACTGGTCTGGTCAGCACCAGAGCCAGCTCAAACAGGAAAACATGCAGCCTCTGAAACAGAAGGAGAGATATTTAAGACAAAGGGCTCCATTAAGACACAGTCAGACCCCCACGCCACGAATCACACTGTTCCTTCTTAGTGAAGTTCAGGGAGAAGACGGCCAATAGGTCAGTCAGAGAGAAGAGGGCGGAGGGCTACCTGTCCCTTATTGTTCTTCAGCTCTCCGTGGCAGTAGATGAAGCGAGACTGGTGGATCTCTGGTAGCCTCTGACTGTCTTCGAGGTAAACGAGACCTCGTCTGTAGAACTGGCACTCTGCCTCGCCTGTCTTCTTGTTCACCTCAGCCACGATGCTCTGAATCAGCTCCAACTGAGTGGAACAAAACAAAGGTGAGAAACGCAGAACGTAGACGGTTTCAAAAAAGCATTGCGGTAGTTTTAAATATCCAAAGTATTGTTGGCATCTTAACTGTAGAGCTGCACCATAAATAGCAAAAGTTTTTTCACTTTTCTTTTTTTGCTTTGGTTGCGAATCCCTCAATGCCGTGTAATTAGAGACCAACCAAATGGCTTTTTTCAGGTTTCTAATTGCACATCAAAAGATCGTTATTACTTCATCTCTCTAAACCAGTCTTCAATGCACAGTTCATTAGCTCAATCCAACACTTTTTTAACATTACAGAATTAATCAAAACAAATTAACCGGCCGTGATAGTACGTTTTTGGCCACTTTTAGATGACGGTATTACTACTCATCAGATCCAGTCTACATAATGACTATCTGAATAGCACATTTGAAAATCAGCAGTATGCACATTTGTGCATTCAAAAAGAACAGTCTTTTGGAAAAACAACCAGTACTTGTTTAGGACAAGGCAGTGAGCGGATTGTGAATGATGCTAGTGATGATGAGCATGTATACACATCATGGATCATAGGTAGAAAGCCCAAAGGTCTGATCTGTTATTCCAAGCAGGACAAATAATGAAATGTAAACAGTGCTGATTCACAGGAGTCCGACTCACAGCATCGGGCAGCGTGTCCTCATCCGGGTGTTCAGGGGGCGTGCACTTCTGGATCTCTCTTAACAGCAGGGGGTACTTGACCAGACGGCTCCGAGGGAGATCTAGAAAGTTCCACAGGTCCAATTTCCTGCTGAACGAAGACTCCTGGCACAGGCGCAGGAAGTGCTCCACTTTCTTCTCAAGCTTCTTCTGGTCCAGCAGGGCCTTGGCCCCCACCTGGTTACAGCAGTATGTGACGTAGGCCTCCAGACAGGGGAACTGTGCAGAGAAACATGGGGGGGTTGTCAGGCATGGGCACCAACACAATTGGTGGGATGTGACCTTTTCTCTTGTGGCAGTCCTTGGTTGCCGTGGCGATACTCACCCAATCCAACAGAGTGGGCCCGACCTCACCGACCGTCTTCTCTGAGCCTCTCAGGCGTTCAAGGCGCTCTAGAAGATCTGGTGTCAAACAAAAGGAGGATAAAAGCAGATATTAGGTCAGGATGACAAAAGCAAGATGTCACTCTGCACTCAGCCAAGTTCCTAAGCTTAAAAAAAAAACATCACCAAAAACCATTTGACATCTCTCAGCAAATTTACACCCTTTTTGTGGGTTTGGCTGCAGGTTTAATTAAAGAATGTGCAGAAAGTATTGAAAATAACAATGACACCATTTAGAGTCTATTATATAAATGAATATATGATAGAACTAAAAAGGAAGTTTAACACCTCGTTAGATTGGGCCTATATGTGAATGATTTATCTTGGGACAAAATCTTATTGTACACACAATATGATCTGGGTTGCTTGGAAAAGAGAACTTTATCCATCATCATTTAAAGACTCAGATAAAGGGAGCGAAGATTCTGAGAACAGAGATGATTCACCTTCGTGGAGCGGAATGAGCGAGTCCAGAGTGCCAAAGATTATTCCGAGCTCGGCCTCCGTCAAAATCTCCAGCTTCAGCATGGGCTCGTAGTACACCTGCCGGCAGCAGAAACCAGAGCAGGTGAGAAGGCCAAAAGTCTTCTCAAAATGTGCCATTTAGCGCACACACGTACCTTCTTGACCAAGCTGAGGTCGTCTATGAGCTGCCTCTCCCCCTGGGTCAGTTCGTAGATCACCTGCAGGAGAGCCCGCACCGTTCAGCAGCGCCACACACTACCTCAAAAACACAGCCACTTCCCACACACAGCTGCCTGTGTGTGTGTGTGTGTGTGTGTGTGTGTGTGGGGGGGGGGGTGTGGGGCACTGCATGGACACAGAGCTAATGAGTTCTCACAGCTGATTGTTCGGTAAAGGAAGTTGGGCCTTCTGTGCCAGCTCACATCCTCTTTCGTAATGCCCCTGCGCAGAGGCTTCAGAGAAATGTGGCGCTCATCTCACCCGCAGCACGGCCACAGCCCCCCCCCCTCTGCTTTACGGCGAGCCTGCCCGCCCACTCTGACCGTACGCACCTCCTGACGTTTGATCTCCTTGGCGGTGAGGTCGTGGCTCTCGACCGTGTCGCTCCAGCACTGGCTGTTGCGTCGCCGTGGAAACGACGAGGCCTTCGCGCGAGAGCGCAGGGGCGCCGGGGGCAAAGGTCGGGCGTCCGTGCGAAAGCTTATTGACCGCTGTGAAAAGAGAGGGCCCGTTGCTTTATCTGCACGCCAAAGCTGTTCATTTTGTTTAACAGCGCAGGTGTGTACGCGCTCACCGAAATGGACTGGCCGATGCGTTTGAGGGCAGGGGTCTTCACCGGGGTCAGGACGCCGGTCAGGCTGTTGGACTTTGCCACGGGCTTTACTCTTTTATTGCTGGGCTCCTAAAACAGAGGTCAGCGTCGAAAGGGGAGAATGAAGCTTTGGAGGGATTCCAAAAAAGTGCTCCGTAAACCTACCAAAGGATGGAACACCTCACCTCTGAGTCCTTCATGTGGTCTGGTGTCATTTCACCTTCCTCGTCTTCCTCATCATCCTGACAGATGAGAACATTTCAAAATTAACTTGCTTTGAGGAATACGGAGGGGGAAAAAAGAGGTGTAGAGAGGAGTGACATGATGCATGGTACTGATCTCTCATTTCCTGTGCGAGTCTTTCAATGAGGAAGAAGGCTGAAACTGCCTGGGCTGTTGAATACAAGATGTCTGCCTGTTTTTACCCCACAAACCACATCTGCCGTACACTTAGCGTAGGAACAGTGCAGAAAAAGTCAGTAAAAACTGAGCATGTGTTAGAGATGTGACAGCAGAAGGAGACATGTAAAGCAGAGCAATTATGATGGGTGGAAAGCAACCGGACGTGACAAAAAAAAAAGTGTAAGTTGGTGAAATGCGAGAGTTTAGGGCTGCACAGCTGAACACAGCGCTAACATGAAAACAGCTGTGCACTCAGCATTGTGGTCACAAAGGTAAGGTTGACTAACATCCGTTAGTTACTGAGAAATGCCGAGGCATGACTATGATTCTACTCAGATTACTTACTTCCATGATTCTGATCACAGGTTCAGAGAGCGGGTCTTGTTTTCTCTTCTTCTAAAAGCAGCAATTTATATTCAAAGTGACTTTCTTGGACTTCAGTATTTAAAAATAACACTCATAAAAGATTCTTAGAACGGGCAGCTTACCCCAGCATGGTCATAGAGGACTGAATGAGACTCGCCTGACATGCCAGACCTAAGAGGGATAAAAGTCTTCATCAAAACCTTTTTTTTTTCTTTTTTAGACGAAATCGGACAGAGGTAGTTGTGCACAAGTAAGTTCGAAACTTTGTCGTCCCTCACAGTGTTTAAAACTGCATCATGATAAGATTTAGCATACGACATTGAGTTCTGTCATCATGTCAGGTACAGAACATCACACCCCAAATCTCAAACACCATAAAAATCTTTTTTAATTAATCCCTGCCATGATTTAAACTGTTTTTAGGATCAGTTTAAAGCAACATAAAGAAGGCAAAAAGGCCCCATACCAGGAAGTCCTTGTTTCGCTCTCCTCCACTTCCATCTTTACTTTGTCCTCAGTGCATCCTCACAAAAATCAGGGTTCCTTCTCAATTAGAGACGGTGAAAAATAATCCAAATTTACACCGCCGCTCTGCACCCGAGCTGGCAGCCAGCCTGTTGAGCATTGAGCTTTTTAAAGTTCAGTGCACTCCTTCCTCCTCACTTTCTTCCTCATCTCGCAGCAGACCACATCCTTTAGAGTTGCACATAACTCACATATCCGCTCTTCTCAGGGAGGAGCACTCAGAAGTTATGAAAGTTCTCACTATAACCTGCCAACTGGATCCTCTTAACACTCTACCTAAGTAGCAGAACAGAGGCCTTGATAATAAAGCAATCTGTTTGAACAAAGAGGAGGAATTGAGTGCGAAGGTTCAAATATGATTCATAAAGTGCCCTTTTGTATTAATAAAAGGCACTTTTGCTAAAATAAAAGCAATTCTCCATCATGCCTTTGATGATAAAATTAATCCGATAAGGTTGTTTTTTTTATCTTCCCCATTACAAGTTAACAGTTCAGCACTTAGCAGTTAGTTTGTTTCCCGGATATGCCGTTCAGAATGAAACCTCTGCTCAGCCCACAGCAGGTCAGACAGGAAAAGCACATTTTTTCTGATTCCGTCAGATGTGTCAGAAGGCAACCTAATTTCTTTTTTTTTTTTTAAACCCAAACTCTAAATGAACAAACAGGACAGCTGATTTTTTTTTTTACATGTTTATTCACTATCACAGTAAGTGCTCCCACTTCAAGATACATCTTAATGCCTTGCTCTTACACGGTTTTGTCTTTTGGAGTTAAAGTAGAAAGAGTTTATGATCTACCAGATGTGTGCCAAAGCTTTATACGATCCCTATCCTCCCTCCCCAAAATAAAATAAAATATAACAAAACACATGAAATATAAAGAGGATAAAGAGAAAACTGATGTCATGTGCAAGGGCCCCTCAAAAACCACGCTGTGCTATGATGAGGGTGTAGGGGTTCCTTAGACTGGGACGAGCATCTGCCAGTGTGATACATTTAGATTTCCACTCAGGAAAAGTTGACTTAAGGTTTATAAGAGTTGTCTGGGTTGTTCTTAAATCAATCAGGCGCATCATTTGAGAAAATGAAAGGGGGAAAAAAAAGGGGAAAAAAAACTGTAATGTGGGATCAGGTCCATGAGACGGGGGTTGGAGGAGAGAAGAGAGCAGGTAGAGGGGGAGGAATGAAAATTGACTGCCACGGCATTATATTTTACACTGGGGGGGTGGTGGGGGTTATGTGTGGCTTTGGAAAACAGAGACCACTAAGGCTTATTGAAGTGTAGAGGTTTTACTAATGAAAAACATTACGATGTCCAGTGTACATGCTCCCTTCTTCCAATAAAACCCCTGTTCCCACAGCCGAGCACCAGCTGGATCCCTAACAGACAAAGGTATCCTTTAGTCAGCTTACCGGGGCTATGTACAGTCAGGCACAGGTTTACGCAAACCGCAGGCCCAAAAAAGAAATCCATTGATCCAATAGAGCCAACCTGGATCGAGTTCCCCACCCCTTGTCCCACTACGGCTCCCCATCCAGACCTCCCCCATGCCATCCCCCTGCAACTCCCACCCGCCAGTGGGTGGACCTGGTGTGGAGCTCAGCGGATGGTGTATCTGACATAGGGCACTTCCACGTCTTCGTCCGACAGGTCGTTGCAGCACAGCTCGAAGACCAGGGCCGTCACGTGCTTGCCCAGCTTCTTTTTGGACACCTTGGTCACGATCTCTGTCATCCTGCAAAACAGAGGAGTGAAAACACTCAACCAGAGGAAGGGTGAAGAGCTTGCGGCTGAAACGTGTCGCAGGCGGGTGACCAAAGTATGCGTGGTCAAATGTGTACTCACGGTAGGTCCAGTCTCTCTTTAAGTTTGGCAGCAGGCATGAAAAATGAATAGAGCATGGACACGCCCTGAGAAAGCATGGTGATCTCCAACTTATGGACAGTCTGGGAAATAAAATAAGTTTATAGATCAGTTATACACAATTTCTACACCAATAATACAGCGCCCCAAAAAAAGTTTTTTTTTTTAAATTTCTGAATGTGAAGAGCGAAGGGGACTAAATGAAGTGTTAAATCCAGCAACTGTACATAATGATGCATTTCCTGGGGGCACGAGAGGAGGAGCCACTTTGACCTGATGTGTGTGCTCAGTTTGAGCTGTCAATGGTGAAGATACGTTCGACTTGTGAAAGACGAAACCATGGTATTAAAAGTTCACGGGTAAAAAAATAAGGGGTATAAAGGCTTTTGCTTTTCTTCATATTTTGACATGTTAAAAGTAAATACTTTTTTTTCAACGCACCTTAAAGTAATCAAGGAATTGCCGGAGTGTCATCTCCTCCCCGTTGTCCTGCAGGCCTTTGACTTCAAAGCGATCCCACAGGGTCCAATCAATTTCATAGTACTGCAACAAGAAGACAGACAGAAATGAAGCCAGATACAGAATCAGGACACCACACTCCAACCACAAATAGGACTTCCCACAGTAAAAGTAGAGCAGTCTGGTCATTGTAAAGACTGCGTGCTGTTTTTCTCAGCATACACTGACACCGTCAGTGTAAGAAGGTGAGTTGAACTCATTTACACTGGATGCATCAGTATTAGCATGGCTGGATCATCATTGGAGTTTAACACATAGGAACCTAACCATTATCTGACAACACATTTCCATTCTAGCACTGCTCAAAACTAATTGATACAAGGGTGCTCACCTTGTGTTTGGGAGCAGCGATGGGCTCAGAAAAGGCAAAGAAAGGCAGGGCCAAGTTCATGAAGCCATTTTTGAACGACTCGAGCTTCTTGTGGCCTTGGACTATCTTGTACAGCTCCAAACACACCAGGCCCACCACTGCAGCGGTCGTAGTGGCAATGGCAGGGATGATCTTGCCAGCGATCAGTTTGCTCTGGATCGGACAGGAACAAAGAGCAAAACAGGGTGATGAACAGGGTCAAACCGAAGCAGCCCGTTAGATCCGTTTTGTTTTGATCATTTGGATTTGTTTGGGGAGTTGATTCATCACACTGCCAGATACAAGTTAAGACAAATTCAATTCATAGCTTTTGACTCCCCAAAAAAAACAACAGTCCAGACAGGTTCACTTCTCCACACATCTGGTGAGAAGACAAAGCTGCCTACCTTGTGTCGGTCTGCAGGTGGAATGTCGTAGTTCTCTGCTCTCAGGTTGGAGGCTGCAACAATGAAGTCCATGTGGAAGTTGGAATCATCATCCTGTAAACACATGACGAAGAATCATAAACCAGACCAGAGCAGTTACAGAAGTGGTGCTAAACACAAGCAACAAGCTTCTGACAGGTGTGCTCTTTTAGCCAGCACTGTCAGTAAACTTGTATTGTACTTATATTGAGGGTGTCTGTTCTTCCATATTGACATTCAGCATCTATAGAGGCGACATACCTTTTCAAATTCAATTGGGACGAGTTTGAACTGGGAAGTGTCATTGGAAGGCAACTTTTTCTTGAGCTCTTCCAGTTTGGAGTCATCTGCTAAGCAAAACATTCACATTTTCAAACAACTATACACGGCTCATTACATTAATAAAAAAACAAAAAACACAGCCCTGTGGACCTTACCGACAGATGAATTGCTGTTCTGCAGTTCCTGATCAGAGACGTGGATCTTGACCCCTGAGCGGGGGGTGAAAGGTGGAATCTTCACGTCCTGCAAGATCTTGACCACACCTGCGCGGTCAGTGTTGCGTGGTAGGCCGTACATCTGAGCAAACAGGTTGGCGGCTGCGATTACATAGTCCATGTGCAGGTCCTAAAAACAAAAACCAGAGATACTGTGAGACCAGACTGACCTTTAAAAGCAGATTATCTATCGAGCAGACGCACAAGTAGCAGATAAAGAAATCAAATGCAAACTTACATTGCTAGTGCTGAATTCTAAGGGGTGAGGACACCTCTTTGGTCCTGACCAGAAGGGGGCCCCAGAGCTAGTGAGCTGAGGGACAAATGAACAGTTCAGATATTGAAGACAAAAGAGTTTTCAAAACTACAGTTGCAAATCTAAAACTTGACAGAATTGTGTATGTCTTTCTGGTAACTGTGAGTTACATAAATGGAAATAAGGGAGGAGAGATTACTGATGTACAGTAGCACGTGATCATGAATGGTGTGTTGGATAAAAGGGCTGGTAAACACATTGTCAAACGTCTGGTACACAACATATTACAGTGTTATCTAACTAAAGCTAGGGCCAATGCATGACGCCCCTCCCTTGTTTCACTGAGACGATGTCTGGACTTTGGGGCATCTCAAAATCTTGATTCTTTTTTGCAGCTGTAGATTTGCTTCTTGCTTGTCATCCTGTTGAATGACCCCATTCCAGCCAAGCTTAATCGGTTCGACAGATGGCCTCACGTCTGACTAGAATTTTTTTATTCAGAGAAATTCCACTCCATTCCAGTGATAGTACGCTGCCCAATCTACTCCTGATATGGAAACCACACCTGAGAAATGATCTCTAACTGCAAGAGTGGAATTCAAATTCTTATGACCCTTCCAAGATTGACAGGCAGCAGCATTTGCTCTCATGTGATATTAGATTTTTTTTACCCCAGCAGTTTTGGTAAATTAACGATTAGATTAAATTTGATTATGTAAGACCAAAGATTTGTGACCAGCCTTTTTAATTGTACAGGGATTTTTGAGAGTATGTTTTTTAAATAAAATGGTCAGGTTTACCTGATCTGGAGGAAAGTTGTGCAATAGCTGGCGGATGTTGTTGCTGTATTGGCACTGCCAGTGGTTGCGAGCCCAGGACACACATTCTGCCCAGCTGTGTGGGCAATCTGTGACAAGACACTTGTACACAGCCTCCAGTACCTCCATAGGCTGAGCTCCTGGAAGCTTCAGCGTACGCTCCATAAACTTAGGATCTCTGGAGAACACCATAAAACCGCAAAGTCTTGTAACAAATGCAAACCGGCAGATCCTGTCCATTCTCATCAAAGCATGAGAAACTCACGTTAAGTACTGCATGCCGTTCTCCGGTGGCTGTTTGAATAGCCCCTCAAACTCATCACGGGCCCACTGGACAGAGAAAGACATTGAGATCAAATCAGTGGGATATAACAGTGTTTTAAAAGGCTTAGAGAGTGTAAGAATATACAGGGAAGGGTACAATACATCAAAATGAAATAGAAATAAGGATGAATGAATCCAGAAATGAAGATACAGTGTACAATTGGCTGTAGATTAGGAACATAGTATTTTTTGCATTTTGTATCAATTATTAATAATATTCTTTAAAAAAAATTGCTATCGTCATGAAGATTTTGCACAAGACTGACCAAGTAGTTCTTTTAGTTCATGAATGAAAACAGGCTGCACGGTCGTGTTAAATTAAAAAGTTTGAACAAGTTGTGCTTATTAGAAATTTCATGCAAATGGCCTAATGTACTCAATTGACTTTCTATGGTTAACCGACTGCTCCACGAGTTCTGCGCTTCTACTGACCTGCAAAGTGTGTTCAATTGCATTTGGAAAGTTTTTCAGGGTACAGATGGGAATGGACTTCTCAGGTGGGTCTTGACTGGAGCTGTAAGACTCTGTGAGGAAGGGGATGACGACCTGGACGTTGCCTTTGGTACCCAAAGTACCAGATTCCAGTAATGGTTTGCGGTAGTATACGCAACGGCGATCCATATACATACCTGATAATCAGAATTACAAATGAAGCCTGAATAGTGTGTATACAAACGCAAAATGAAGATGCTGCTATGTTAGACCAGCCCGGGTAGCAGACTGCTCCACTGGCAGCCATAAAAGAAAAATAGGAAGCTTTCTCTTACGGGCATCAACGTTGTCTAGTGCATTGGCAACTCCATCAAGGCTTTCAAAGAAGTCGTCGTCATAGACCCTCTCTGTCTCGGGGCCCACTCTGTTCTGATGACCCGTGATCCGGATGGAGGGGTTCATCTGCTTCACTGCAGCAGCAGCTGTGTCACTTTTCATTTTCTACGATCACATATGTATAAAAAAGAAATTACCACTTACCAACATCACAAACCTAAGTGTGTAACACACACACAAAACACATCCTGTCAATAACTAATGGTCTGTCAAGTTGTCCATTTAAACAATATGTCATTTCTTCTCACAGCTCTACACAATAACACTGTTGTGTGAGGCTAGTGTGATGTTAGTACTTTGAGGTGTCAATGCTTTCAACCCCAGCCCAATACAGTCTGACACATTCTGCTGAGTGTTGGTGGCAACTAAACAGGACAAAGAACGATCCTGCTAATTTGTCACCAAGGAAAAAACACCATCCGACCTTTAAATAGACAGGCAAGAAAAAAAAAAAGCAGCAGGACTGTTGTTCACCTGTTTAAACCATTTTGTGTACACCCGGTGATTCCTTCAGATATTGGTGGGACCTAACCCTAACCTCACAGAGGGAGCATTGCCCTACATCGCCGTTTTGTCGCACAATTTAAGTTGGAGTTGCATAATCAGGTGTGAGATTTGGCACAAATGGAGTTTGAGCTTTTTGCTTGTGCATTAGCAGAGAGCAGGGGGTCTGTTTTCCTGCTCTGTTACTTCCTCCTGCTCAGAGGCAAATCCAACAGCCCAATTTTGGACTTTAACACATAACGTGTGTACAGATGGTCCCAACTAGCAGATGTATAAAAAAGGTCCCTGTGGCTCATTTCAGAGAGGTTATTGTGCGTTACAGTACAAACGATATCCTTATACGGTACTATTGATGATGATGATACTCACTGTAACATCTGAGGGTCTGAACAGGAACTGTCTGTTGAGATTGGATTTCTCTATGGTGTCCATGTCAGTCACAATGACCTCACCATCCCCACTTCCCAGTCCAATCATAGCAAAATTCTTCAACAGCTCACAGCCGATGGCTCCAGCTCCAACCTAGAAGGATTTCAAACTGTTGAAGGAGGTCATCTACAAAGGTTGTGCTGTGTTTCACATTAAAAGGCGCCACTTAGAAAAACATTTACTCAAACAACTTCTTAAAGCTAATCCAAACCTCAAACTATACCATGGATTATATCAGGGATCATTAATGGCTAAAGCTGATAATTAGATGGTGTCACGGTCCCCAAACTGGCTCCATCAGACATGTATTGATACCAACTCACCAGGAAGTAGCGCTGTTTGGCAAGCAGTTCTTGGAGCTTTGTGCCAAACACTGCGATCTGCCCATCATATCGACAGTTTATCTGAGAAAAGCACACAGAGGCAGATAAGCGGTTTAAGACCACCATTTGTCAGCATGATGGGGATCTGTCTACAGTCTGAGCACATGTAATCTGGACTGAGCACCTACAGGAGCACATTCCTGCTCTGTGAGCATGAATCCTTCCTCTTCAGACAGGCACTCCAGGGCATCAAAATACAGCCACTGCATTATAGGCATAAATTTCCCAGTGCATGCCTGAAAGAACAAAGTCATCTGTTACCAAGAATTCAAGAAATAAACAAGTTGGAGGGTGCATATCCAAACACGCTTTATCACATAAGAAAACAGTTCCTGTTAAACACCGTCAAACTCATATGCTCGCTGTACAAAGTACTTTACAATCAGGAAAACTGTATGGAATACACAAGCAGTTTGACTTTCAAAAGGCTTTCCACTGACCTTCATCACTTCTTGTGCAGCTACACCTCCAACAAGAGCATTGACAGGGGAAAGATCACCAGCAGCAACGTACGACATCTTTTTGATAAGGGCTTCATCCAGCTGTTCCACTTTGGCAGACTCCGTTTGGGCAGAGTTGAATTCCTTGGCCAAACTCAAGAGCTCTTCGCCATCAGACTGAAAGAAACAAAGCATAATGTTTTAAACGGTTCATGTTCCTGCATTTGATGATGACGCTCCTAAATAACGGGAGCAACAAGTCACTCAAATCAAGAAGACATAAGATGGGCTCATTAACTATCATTTAAGTAACCGGATGCAGCTGATTATGCAACAGGTAATCCTGGCTGTTATAAAAGATACAAACCTGGCTCCAGGGAACAGGGAGGCGGCTGTGTTTCTGTTGGAAGGCATGGAAAGCCTGGAAGCCCACATGGAGCTGTGGTGGACGCTCAAACTTGGCAAAATCCGTCATGATAAACTCAGGGGCAGCCATGGAGGAGGAGAAGGATTTCTGCACAGCAAAGACATGCATGGGTATGAGGCTGGGCGCAAGATTACAAAGGTCCCCATCAGCACAACAAAAAGACATCCTCATGGTTAGAGGCAACAACAGGAAAAAGGGGCAAATACAAACAAGACGCTAAGAGAAACAAGTCCTACTCAAAATAATTATGTCATATACAGGTAATTTTGTCATATTTCAAGATGATGTGGGAAAATGAAAGACACTTACAAAACTGATCTTCTTGGGCATCTTAACCTGAGAGACTATTCCTCCTCTCACATAGTCTTTAAAGCCAGTTGTGTCACAGATGCTGAAGGTGTATGGGCCTGACCAAAGAAAAACAACTTGTTGACTAACCGAAAACGAAAAGCTAATGAACAAAAGGCAATTATTAAGAAACATGTCGCACCCAAAACTTTGATTTCCACTGGCTGACAGCCATTGAGGTCTGTCATCCCCTGAATCTCTGTGAATGTGACATAGTCTCCGCTCTCAAAGCCATGACGGGCCTCATCAAGACATGTCACAACCCCTGGATTGTCCTAAAGAAACAAAAAAAAGTGGGACTTTTCTGTCAACATGAACAATTTTTGAAGAACGTATCTTTAAGTGGGAAAAGAAAATTGAACAGACTAACCTTGGTGATCATGGAAATCATGGCACTAAGTGGCTGCTCACCATTAGTGTCATACACTGTCATTTCCTCTCCAAAGTCACAGAAAAGTTGGCTGCAAAAAAACAAAAAAGTATGTTGCACAAGTTTAAGACAGAAAACCAGCTGAGTGTGCAGTTCAGTCCCTACCCTAACAGGCCACGCGTGTCTGCAATGATCAGCTTGATGCTTTTGCTGTGGCAGAAATCTCCTACGTGCTTCTGCTCGTCCAGAGGGGAGTTAGTCAGCACGACCACCTGAGTGTCAAGAAAGGGCTTAAAATGCAGCATTTTCCTATTTCTTAAATATTAAAACGACAAGAGAAAATGTGGTTCTGCGTCAGCTTTACCTGGAACTTGGTCAGGTAGTCGTCTGTGAGGGCTCCAGTATAGGCGGTCACAGGAACATAGTTGTTGAGTTCAGCCAAGCGGGGCTGGCTCACCTCTGCTCTGTTCTTTCCAAGGTCCTCCTCTCGAATGTAAAACTATTACACAAAAGCACACATCATGTGAGGTAAGAAATGGCACAAAGCCAGACAATCGGCTATATCATGTATAACAACCAGCAGATCAAAACACCATTTAAAATGGAGAGACAGGCAGCTCATATGTAAATGTTTGCAATTGTCCCCTTTTAACATCTGCATCAGTCTTCTCTGCTAATTCTAACTCCATTCTGCCCCCAAGCTCCAACTGTTTAGAAATCATCAAGCAGTGGTTTCTAAAGTTTCATCAGATTGCCAGAATTAAATCCCACAACTCATACTCAAAGCACAATGTTTACATCCTGCACAACTATCACTAATGGCAATTATAAATATACAACTGTACCAATGTTTTAGATGATACTTTGATAGCAACTCCTTTAAAAGTGTTAAAGCTGAGGATTTTTTTATTTTCCTAACTGTGGAAAAAGTTTGGAAAATGATAATGATTAAGTTAAACTTCTTGTTAAAAGAAAGAGACAAGCCATTTAATCAATTTGGAACAAATATGCTCCCTGGGCAACTGCCAGTTGCTGGAACAGAGATATCTGAAAGAGCAAGGTCACTGCCAAAGACATCTCTGTTGAGCCTCTTGAATTAATCTGTGGAGTCTATTCACACATGCTGCAGACCTCTGCCTAAAATAAACCCATCAGAATTAAAAAGTCTACCCAAATGACGAAAACAATCTCCTGCTGTAATGATGTCACATCAGAGGCAGTGAACTCACTATGTTTATTATCCAGGAATAGGTCACACCGATAAATCTGGGTCAACCCATAAATAGCAAGGGAGGGGGCAGCTGTAAGTCCTTTTGGGTGGCAACAATACAGCATATGTACAAGTAAAGATACCGTCACACTGCACTTTGGACACTTACTTTATCCTGAATGAAGTCCAAAATGATAAATAAGCAGGTAACATACATAACTTTAAAAAAAATAGCCCTTTCTAAAAATTAAAATTACATGTACAAGTTTTCACACCTGAGAGGAAAGGTCTCTCCATTCTGCAAGCCCCTGGTCATGCACAGTGACGCTTCTGACTCCACCCAGGATGACATTCTTGGCAATCTCGACTCCAAGACCTCTCATGCCGGAAATGAGGACATTGGAGTTCTGCATGCGCTTCATTGCTTCATGGCCCAACACATAGCTACACAGAAGGAGAAAGGTGCATTGGTGTTATGGTGCACTGTTAGACAAGCACAAAAACTGCATAGATCAGGCCAAAGAGAAATCTTACAGTTGTCTGGAGTACAGCCCTTCATCAATCTCAGCATCATTGCCATTCTTAGCCATGCCCTGTAGAAAAGAGGTGGTGAAATCAGTTTAGGTTACAAGTTCCAACTGCAGAATACAGCGAGTGTGTTTGCACATACGTTGGCAGGTGTGTGGGACAGATCAGTTCTGACAGAGTTAGAGGAGGAGCAGTGAGATCCCGTCTTCGTCTCTGTTTCTGACACGCGACGCTTCTTGGACAGCGGCGAGCTGGACATCTGGAAATTCACAAAAGCTATTTAAAGAAAACATCTAATTCAAGACAGGCCATCACACAACTCAAGCAAAACAATCATTCAAAAAGCATTTATCTTTTCTGATACATATGTTGTGACTTAACTTATTTGTATCAATTTGCTTACAGTGGAGAACACTTAAGATGTACAATCTGAAAGCATCAATAGATGATTACATCAAACAAAAAATCATTAAGTGAATTTAATTGAAATGGGCAATAAACGCCATTTATGCTTCTTCACTATGGTCCATTATGATCAGCCTCTAAGTTGAGAAGAGAGGATATTTAGCCCAGAGAGCAGCTGGGCTGGCAGCAGGCCAAACACCAATCTGCTAGAAAAACCAACTGGGCCTGAGAAGAGACGTGAATAGCAGCATTATGAGTTCCTTTCATGCTCAGAGACAGCACTGGTTTGTTTATGTACTTCTATTGTTTATTAGTGGGGTTTTAAGGACTGTCAGCATCGTTTCAACAAAAAACAGCTGAATCATTAAAAGTTCACTGCGGTAAAGCTAGCAACAGACACCGATTCGCAGCTTTAACGGAGAAGATCATTCGACATGGAAAATTTAAAACGATAAGCTTGTGTAAGGGCTTACGAAAACTATACAGTCAAATATCGTCGTGATTAAAACGTTAATCTGGACAAACTAAGACGGCAAGTCAGAAGGCCGCAGTGTCTGAGGCACACAGACCTCACAGCGAGAACTGTCAGCCACAATTTCCGCATCAAACGCATCTAACTTACCTTCGGCCCCAAAGTCACACAAGACGGCTAATCAACCCAAGTACAACTTCCATATCTTCAAGATTGACATTAAACAATTCCAACATTTGAAAATAAAACTAAACTGATATGTCTGCGAAATGAACGGCCCCTTTCGTTAAAAAAAGAAAATGGAAGAAATCCGGCATGATACGGCAGAGCTGCCTGGATCTTACTGTAGCTGTCAAAACCTGATGGAAAACCTTAGCCGCTAACAGCCTACTGAAAGATTTTTAAAAAATACAAGAATTTAACTTTGACTGTGAATTAACAGCACATTGACACACCTTATCGGGTTCCGGTTAGATGGGTTTCCCGTCCACTAATAAGTTAAGTGGTTTAGGGGTGGAAATAGCCGAAACATTAATAACTTAGAGGCAAGAAAACACCAGTCTGCCAATGTAGCCATTAGCTGCTTAGCCGGGCCTGTGCTGCCCGTAGTGCGGAAAACACAACTTTACAAGCTAGCAGCTGCGGCTACCTTACCCGCTAGCGAAAACGAGGATCTGTTTGTAATTGGTAGACAACGCCACTTCTACACTCGTGTGGCGAAATGTCTACGCTCTAGTCGTGAAAACACCATTAAACTTTGTCGCTCGACATAAGAATCTATGCAAATGGAAGACAAACCACTACACTCGTGCTTCATTGATTTCTGTTCTTACCAATAATCCTTCTCGGTCCCTTCCCTATGCGAACCCGCTCCTCTAACGCAGTGTACGGTCGTCAGTAATAAAGATGGTTGCTAATTCGGCGATTCGTACCAAGAAAATTAAACACGATGCGGAATCAGGATGGTCTGCACTATAATGTCGAGTCACTATGTCGTTGAGCTCAGTCTCCTCTATGTAATTGCGTTGCTGGCTTAGGGACTGCAGACGGGAACAAAACCAAAATGGCAGATGGGAAGAAAGGGGCGGAGGAACTGTGACGCATGGGTTAAAATATTCAACAGGAAAGGGTAGCTGTTCGCACACTGGTGAGACAGGCTCTGATCCGATTGGCTCCCACGCTGCATTCATCCCGCCCCTGCTACCAGAGGATGCATGCTATGTACAATAGTGTACAATGAACTGACGAACCTCCAGTGATTCTTGGACAAAACACCTTACGAATCTATAGACACGCTCTTATGCATGCTTATACCACAACTGTGAAAAAATCTTATCGGCTATTCCAGGTTTCTTCCATAGTAAAGCTTTAGCGATGTTTACTGGTGATGGAGGAAATTCAACAACCATAGTACCATTGTCTCAGTGACATCTGCGGAAAACCATCCTTTTATGGAACTAGATTGCATGCAAATCCCAGAACAGAGGTGTCCCTATACATTTAGTTAAGAAAAGGCACGTTTTTTCCCGCTTGAGTGGAACATTTTCACAGTAAAACTATATATTGAGGCTAGAGTTTGTAACATTCCTAATCCGAACTCAGTTATTGCTCATAGTGCTACAGCCCCATGAAAGGCAGGGGTACAACCTTAAGTCTGCTGCTTACAAGCTGAAGTGATGCTGGGCGCCAGGGCCTTCAGTCACATTGAGGTTAGGGGTGAGCATTTCTTGCAGAGGAATATTGGGGGAGGGGGTGTCTAGCAAATGACAAAGGCCCAGGAAAAGACTGGGCCGCATATGTCGGGTACACATGTCGAGGGGTTCCCCGGTTCTCGTGCTCTTATAAGATGACTTCCAGCATTCTGTGTTGAGTTTAAAAGTGATCATATAACGAAGTCAAAGTAGTAGACTACTTATGATGACAAGTTCAAAATAACTAACAATACTGTGTTAAAAAAACCTCTAACAGAAATACCGTGACGGTAAGCAAACAAAATACATGCAGGTTAAAGATATTTCTCCAGTACGATACACGTTTCGCGAGGCATGTTAGCTAGTGTGTCTTATAGCCTGCATCCCATGTTTGCAGCAACAGTAGCTTTCTAGCTACTATTTACCACATTGTTTTCATTACAATAACTGCCTTTCGCCCAGTAAAAGTGCAAATATTAATTCGAAATCAACATTTTAGTGACAATGCCTGACTAGCGACGATTAGCCGAGCGGACAGCTGAACAGGTTCAGTTAGCCAACGGTAACTAACGTTAACCATTACTAATAACGCCGATCAAACGACTGCGTAGTTGTTAGCTTGTATGCGGCTAGCTCTGAAGCTATCTAGCCACCCAACGACTTTTTCCTTCTTGTGCTGCTGTTAGCTATCCAGCTAACATTAGCCAACTAGCTGGGGCTAACGTTACCAAGACGAGAGCTTACACAAGTGTGCAAACTTACCACATCCGATATTACTCGGCCTGATTTGTAGTATTAAAATCGGCTTCGTTTGAGCAAAGAACCAAACAAATAATGTTAAAACTCAACACTGCCGCTAACGGCAAACTGAAAAATATGTCAAGCTGGCGGGCTCTGTGTGAGTTTTTCCACTGGACGGTTGCCTGCCCGGCTGTCCCCAAACCGTTTCCCCTCACTCTATTTCAGTTGAAAGCAAAGCAAAGCAGCAACATGTGCACGTTACAGGAAAAACCAATACACAGACCCAAAGGGACAACCGAAAAGTGACAATTATGGATATATCGTTTCTATTTAATCTAAATCCATGATCAATTTACAATTACTAGATTCAGAATAAATAATCTATTAAATAGGATAATGTTGTTTGGTTTAATCGCATTCTATCGATCTAAAAAGAGTAGAAAATGGACACCCCCGTCATTTACCACTTTGGACTAATCCACAGTTTTCGCAATGGCACATGGGGCTTGTAGTGAGCATGTGAAAGAAGGCCTGAGCGAGAAATCTCTGGATAACGGTTAGTCTATCTCATAACGGCTCGTTATGTACAAGCATGACCCCGCGCGCGCACACGTGAGAGAACACTTATATGAAACAACTGTAACTCTGTCCTTCATTTTCATTGCATAATAATTTTGACAGTGCCACTTTCAAAGAATGAACTTTGACTTTATGTATGTATATATACAGTATATATATATATTATTTATTCGTCCACAAATGAAACAGTTCAACAAAGAACTTAATTGTATTACTTTTATTGAAAGACTTGCAAACAGAGTACACTTTACATAGGGACAAATGATGGTGTTTTAATTCAGGAGAATAGCAGAAATTTTGGTCTAAAATACACCGAAAGCAGAATGAAGTTCAAAGGGACAATGATAAATGGTAAATAGGATAAAATAGACGGTAAAATTTAATTAACATTACCAAAGTAGGTGGGCTGACCAATCTAGATATAAATTAAACAAACTTTGTTAGCTAGATTTTCACAAGAACGCTTGAAAGAAGAAAAAATGTGTGCTTGTTTTATTTCAAAGCTTTTATACAATATCTTGCATGTAAATATTTTTTTCCAGCTCCCCAACAATTGTGTAGCGACTCACAAAACATTGAGTGACGGTTAAAGTTTAACATAGAATTTAACAAATCTCAAGAGCAACTGATAAAATCCATTTATTCTTTCAGTTTTTAATAAACTTGTGCAGCTGTATGACTCCAAGCCTCACAACTGACTGAGGAGCCACACAAATAAAACAAATAAAAACATATAAATGGTTTTAGCTGCTTTGAAAAAGTAAAAGTATTACTGTGAACATGAGAAACATAAACGCCAAACAAACTAAAAACGTTAAGTCCATTTTTTTTCTCTTTGTGTGTGTGTGTGTGTATCTATTTACACTTGATCAAGAATAGGTGTGAACGGTGGTGTGTTTGGTAGCGCCGTCACCTCGCATTCCTGGTTCAACAATTGGCTAGGGTCTGTCAGTTAGCATGGTTTGCCTGTGCATGCATAGGTTCTCCCAGGGCTGTCCAGCTTCCTCTGACAGTCCAAAAATACACATGTTATTATGTTTGGAGAATCTAAATTGACCATGTCTATTGCCCAATGGTAGCTGGGATAAGCTTGGGGCTTCCTACAACCTTCAACTGGATAAAGTGATTGTAGAAAATGCAATAATAGAAAATAAATATTTTTGATTGGTTGTTAATCATATGATACTGTTTTTACATGTCCTTACTGTTCGTTTGGTAAACCTCGCTAAGTGCTTGGAAATTCCCATATGATTTGGTTAAGGTGGACATTGAGGCACACGTCTGAAACTGATCTGATCTCTGCAGATGTCACAACAAACAATGTTGCATTCTATCCTGCTTTGACTCCACACATTAAACCATCTGAATGCCCTGGGGGTAATCATTTGGAGTAAAGGCACAACCAAACCAAACATTGTATGGTTACCTTTCTTCTTCTAGCAGGTGGATGTTGCATCTAGGTGAATCAGAATCACTAATCCCACAAATTTGAACTATAAATCCAGTGTTCAGGGTGGTTTGTATTTGTGTCTTGTGGCTCATAGCCCCTTGCCCATTCCAGCCCTTGGTGACTGGCTGGAGTTTGCTGTACCCTTCGAACCATCCTTTTCTCCCTGTTCCCCGACAGCCTGGGGTGAAACTTGTGAGGGGGGAGACGGTGGGGGATAGGAGGGAGGAGGTATGGCAAGGTGGGGGAGTGATGGAAGCACAGGTCTTGGAGAAGTGGGAAGAGGTGGGGGAGTGGTTGAGGTCGAAGTTGAAGAACATTGTGTAGAACGTGCGCGGGAGGTGGCGGGAGATGTGTGTGTGCTCCTGACGCGTGCTGGTTCAGCAGGACAGTCACTGATTTGCTCAAGCAATGAGGGCATGTCTCCTTCAATCTTCTCAAGCACAGCGGCCATTTGTTTTTCTATCTGCTCAATCACACTGTCCATCTGCCAATCACTTGTAGCACTGCTCCCTCCTCCTGCATGGTGTAGACCAGTCCCATACATCCCTATACCTGCTCCACTTGTATACAAGGTACTGTATGGACTCCCGTAACTCCCTCCCAACCCTATAGTCATGGCTTCTGAGTTGTATGGTGTGGCATGACGGCCCAAACTAGCAGAGCTACCCGCAGCATAACTGGCTTGTCCTGGCACGGCCCCTGTCCTAGCTATGCTATATTCAGCACTATATCTGTCTGTACTCCTTGCATTCCTATCCCTACTACCTCTAGGACTAGCGTCACCCCTTAGCCTGACCCCTAGTGCTAAATCTACCCCAGGTCCTGATCCCATTGCTGGAGTAACTTGTGCTCCGACTGATCTCTCTGCTACCGCTTCAGGCAACTGTGTCTGACACCAGCTTCCGTCGGAATCGTCCCTCTGTGTGCCTTGGGTGGCTAGTGTCTTCCGTGGTGAGGCTGAAGCAGTAGCAGATGCTGTTTGTGGGGGGGTTTGACACGTTGCAGCCATTTTACATTTGCTGCTGGGATCAGGGGAAGAGGATGTATGCTTTCTGTCAGCATTAGTTCCTGATAGACTCTCTGACAGATTTGAGGACTCAGATGTCACCACAGGGGTCTGCTTGGCCTCTGGAGCCACTTTATTTTGACCCATAGAGGCAGAAATTTTTCTGATTCCATCAGTTTCTCCTTTTCTTATGCTGGACTTATTCAGTTCCTCCTGTTTGGGAGCAGAATTTGATTTACCAATAGGGTCCTGAATATCTGATGGGGAAGTTCCTACAGATGGACCTATGGGTGTATTTACTTCCTCATGTTTTTCTCCAACTTTAACAGTGTTTGTATCCTGGTTCGCACCAGCCAGTGTATTCTCAACAGTAACCTCTAAAGACACGCTACTTGAGGTCACCCCTCCATCACTTGTCCCCTTCTCTCCTTCATCACTTGTCCCCTGAGAAACACCTCCTTCACCTTCTCCCACCTCCTCAGTGGCCTGAACCTCAGCTGAGCTGTCGATCAGAGCCTCTGAATTCTTCAGCCGTTGCATAAAGGTGGTGACACGGATTGCTTTCTGCGAAAGAGAGGTGACAAAAAGATAAGGTAAGGACGACAGCACAGACTATACAAGATTTACAGTGTATGTTTTGTATTTTCCCACAAACATGTATAGGTTGGGACTATGGCTTCTTTAAAGGTAAAACTAAAACGTTAATATTAGTATTGGTCATGGAAAATAAAAAGCTTCCGAGACAATAATTTGACAAAAAAAATGCTGTTGAGGCACCATGATTTAGCATTATCATAAAAAGCACTGAGATGGAATTTCTGTGAGGTGGAGAAAAGATCAGTGCCAGTTGTTTAATCCCAGGATGCTATGACATATTTTACTCTGGTTTAAATCAATCTCAAGACTCACTCTCCCCATGAAACTCTTTGATTGTTTGTGGACCAGCAAAGATAACCAGATATGTGTAAATCTCCCACTTTATTCATACACTTATCTGATTAATTTTGATCTACAGACAATAAAGGAGTTTGGGCCAATGAATGAGCTTAGCAGTTGTTTCTAAACCAGGTAGCTGAATTCCTCCGAATTCACCAAGTGAGCAGCCGCTCAATTTGGCTCAACAAAACAACTTCCTTATGCGTGAATGTCACAACGGTATGGGAAATGAGCCAGGATTCGTGTAAGAGGAATACCAGAGGGCCTTACAGATCAAATCACTGTAATTCAACAGTCAACAGTGGCTTACATCCTGTATGTCCTTTCCATTTCACCCTCTCCTTATCTACACCAATGGAAATACTACAGATCTTCTGTCCCTCTGCTAAGTGTTATGCTGTTTTCAACTCCAATCTAGATAGACAGAATAGTGCAGATGAGGAGTTGGAAAGGTTCAGAGCAGGCCACTTTGAACAACTGGGTCTTATCTACTAAAGAAAATTGGGTCAGAGAGGATGGATCTCTTCTGGGACAGGCAGAGTGACAGTAGGGAGGAACAGAGCTTGAGAAGAGTTTCAACAGCCAATGACCATTAAATCTCACAGCTGACTAAAGTTTATGTGCTGATAAAAGTTTTTGATTTGAATTTTTTTTTTTTTTTTACCTTTAAGAACACAAACTTAGACAAGACGATGTTCAACATTTTTAAAGGTGGAACATTATTGACTCATGGCAGAATAAATGTGAGTCTCTCCTCACGCCCTGTCCTTTCACTCTCACTCATAATGAAAAACAATACCTTCAGCTCCTGGGAACCACATGGGGAAAAAAAAGAAGAGGTTTATAACTGTTACTTATGCTGTCAGATGGACCCTGCCATCTTCCTCCTTTTTTGTCCTCAGCATTCACACCTCTGGATCTCCATTTGAGCTTCAATGTTTTAAAATTAAAACGTACTCTTGGAAAGCAGTTAAACGAGCTAGATGGACATATAAACCTTAGCATTTGTCCTCCTTTTCTTCCGTTTACTCTTCTGGTCATCCTGGCTGCATTAATAGCAGCTTAATTCATGGTACAAGCACAGTAGTGAGATGAATCCATACCCGCCATTTGGCCTTTGCAAAGTTCTTCTCAAACTGGGCACACACACCATCCTTTAAGTTCTTCTCTGACGCACCATTTCCAGCAATCCTGACACACATGAAAGATGGTGTAACAGCAAATTCAACCCTCAAAGATGTATGCAATATTCTCTTTATTTTTGTGACTATTTACCATTCATGCCAAAGCGCGTCTTGTGCTGTGATTCTTAACATCTGGTCCACTTCCATTAGGCGACAGACAAGCTCCTTTGCTAAAAAAAAAAAAAGCACAACACAATAATAATCTGAGTGTCATTTGAGATGACAATTGTGAAACAATATCAATTGTTAGATTTTTGTAAATAACTGAGAAAAGCTATTAATATCAATTATCCATTGGTACATGAAGAAGCAGAAGTGCTTTCAGCTGCATATTAAAATGTAATGTTTTTTAATGCACAGTTTATGGGAAAATTGAAGTGGATGTTTGGTGCCGTCATGTGGTGGAAGGAAACACCTGCTGGTGAGATGTCATCCCAGTAAGGAGAATCAAACTCAAAGTCCCCGGCAACAATGCGACAAAAGATGATGCGATTGTGTAGATCAGTGTTCTCCTCCTCCGTTTCATCATAAAAAGGAGGATTACCAGATAAGCTGCCAAAAAATCAGAAATACACAAGCAGAAAGAAGGGTAATTATTCAAAAAAATGTTGGACATGTAACAAGGGAATTACTTTTGGAGTAGATTAAATTACATGAATTTCTATATCAGCAATAAGTTTTTACATCAGTGATAGTGACTCACAGAATAAACATGATCACACCCACAGCCCAGCAGTCCACAGGACGGCCGTACCGGTGACGCGCTACCACCTCGGGAGCTAGCATGAAAGTACAGAAAATCCATGGAGAGTTTTAATGATAATGTGAATGATTGCCTGTTTTTTTATTTATTACCCTTCACATCAGCACAATAACGATTCTAAGCTGCTTAATAGCCTCACCTCAAAAAATGCTTCCCATTTTTCCATCACTCCCCATATTCTTTTATTCCTTATTTACTGGTTTAATTACCCAACTCAACATTATTAATAACTGCTCTGGCCTTTAATAGCATAAAACTTGGCAAAAGCACAGTCAGCAGTTCAAGTTTCCCCCCGCATAAACATCAGTATGACAAGAAAGAATGGGACGGCGCATGAAGGGTGAGAGGAGATGAGAGAGAGATGAGATGGAAGAGGGAAAGTGTTGGATGCTTTCAATCCTATTTGGGAGTTTTTCCAGAGTTCATGTTTTACTGCGAGGGTTTGAATCTGACAAATTATCATCATCAATTGCACAAGAAAGGAGCTGAAAAAGATATGTGCATTGGCCGTATAAACCTATAAAAATAATGATATATGGTGACAGTAAACATGAAAGCCGATGAAACACAGACGGAAAATCACCAACCCAAATACTCCGGTGTTCCGCATGGATCCGTGATAGGTCCGTTCTCAAATCTGGACAGGTAGAAATCTCGCAGCACTACTTTATTGTGGTTGTTTTCATTGTAGTACATCAAGTTTTCAAGCTTCACAAAATAAAGAGAACAGAAGATAAGCATTCTCACACAAACTGAGTGAAACTTTGTCCTTGTTCTTCTTGTCAAGAAAGTTATTGAGCAAGTTAAAAAATAATGCACTCCTCATATGCATATTGCCCTTCAGGGAATTTAACAGGTATCACATACATGAAAAATAAAAAGCATGGACAGCATGCTTCCATTGCAGCAGCCAGGTTTATGCATTTATGCACTTATCCATAATATCTGAAGGAAGCCTTTTCTCTATTTAATAAATAAGAGTCAGACTCAAAGAGAAGAATTCTGAATCTATAATTTTTTTTACAAATGACTGAACAAGACAATTTTCATCTTTGGGCTTTCAAAAGGAGATTCAGCTTTGGCTTGTCCAAATGCTGTGTCAAAAACAACAACTTCCACAGGACCTATTCGCACCACCATGTGATGATGGAGCCTTGTCATTCATTCTATTCTGTTTTTAGCACGGAGCCAGTGAGGAGAAGCATAAACAGGAGAAATATGGTCTCCCTTTCTCATTTTGGTGAAAACTCTGGCTGTATCATTTTGGATGTTTCAAGTCTTTGTTCCCTCTGTCCAGATGTATGAAATGTGTTGTTTTATTCTAATTAAGTTTTGATTTTAAAAGAGGTATTAAATAAAATGATTTAATCTTGGTTTCTCATAAAAAACTGATTTCTACCACCTGAGTTGTCAGAATAGTTCCCTGCAGCTCACTGTGGGTACATTTCAGGTTTTACCAGTAGAGGGAGTCTAAAGACAGAGAAACGATTAAGTCTTAATGGGTTGGCCATGAGCACTACAGATCTTAATCTGTTTGTGGGGGTTAATGTCATTGGAAATTGCTTTGAGCCACAAAGTAAATGTTTACTCCCATGGTAAGTATATCATCATCAAATGTTTCATCAATAACTGAGATTTGTCTCCACAGAGAATCTACCACCGACGTACTTCATATTGCTTGATGTGAATTGGTTCCGCTCAGGCTATCAATCTGTTTAGTTTAGTTCTTCCAGTATTTCTAATGGTTAGCCAACGATTAATTTAATAATCATTGATGTAAGAGCCCACATGCGCAAAAACAACATGACCTAACGATTTTCTATGTCCCAAAAGATTCCTTTTTTAAATGACACTTTTTTCTACATCCTGTTAATATCAACAGAAGTCTAAGTTTAACCCAAACCTGTGTCCCTGTTGAGACTGAAGTTTTGGTGGGTGAGAGTGCAATTTGGTTTGTAGTCACGCACGGAGAAGTAGTAAGCCAGAGAGAATGCACCTTAAGGTTCCGGTGAACAATGTTGAGGGAGTGTAAGTACGCCACAGCTTCGAGCACTTGTCGAATAACATTGGAAGCATCTCTCTCGGTGTAATTTCCTTGGTCGAGAATCCAGTCGAATACATCGCCTCCTGTGGCACTAACACCGAATTACACAAACACATTTGTCAGTTTACATGCTGTTAAATAAATGTTAGTTTTTAACACTGCAAATCGCCATTCTTTTTTTCTATAACACCCCAGTTATAGTGCTTTTTGTCCAATAGTAAAGTACTTTACTTGTGCTGGCCTGCAGCTGGCACCGCTGTGCAATTAAAAAATCTGAGTGCTGGCCATCACTCTAAAAGACTTTAACCTTGGAGAAAAGTGATGGAAGTCATTATCTTACATAAATCGCAACAGGATGGTTATTTCCTGGGCAGAAGTCAGTAAGAGTTGGACATAAACAGCCGAACGTGCGCACAGATGACTGCAGTCATTTTGATTGCAGTTTGAATTTCTTTATATCAGTCATGGAAATACTTTGCCAACTCTATTTCAATCAGTGACTCTACTTTCAAATAAAGTTGCAGACATCGAAGTGCAAACGTCACAAGTGATGTGCATTGGTTGAGTTGTGGTGAATTGATCTTAAGCTCTCCGTGGAGACTCTCTTGTTGCAAAGCAGTGCTTCAGGGCCACTGAGTAATGCTGAGTGTTACTGAGAGCAAATATCTCATCAAATCTAACACCTTCCTCTGTTGCTGAGGGGAGAACCAGAGCCCACAGTAATAACAGGAAACACTCAGCTCCCACCTCTGAACTGATGGGTTTTTGAATGTAAGATACACGCATGCAGGAACAAACGCACACGTACAAATTATCAAGAGTGTTTAAACATGGAAAAGAAATCTCGAAAAGGCCACAAGAAAGACTCACAGTTCCTGGATGATGAAATATTCCTTCCGGGTCTCAAACGCATCTATCAGCTGAAGGATGTTCGGGTGATTGACCCTGTAAGAGCAAAAAAGCCAAACACGCAAAAGCATGAGCCTTACAATCATGTGTAACACGGGAGTCATATTTTATGTTGAAATTTGAATACAAAGGAACTCAGTCATTGTTCGTCTTTCTAAGTTTATCAGTAGCTCAGCCATTCATCCATCTGCTCTCACACTGATTGCCTACAATTTCAGGATCATGATTTCGTTCTTGGCAGCCTTGCGGACTTTCCTGCCATCCTTCTTGAGGAATTTCTTGCAGACAAACACCTTGTCTGTCTGTCTGTCCTTTGCTAGGCACAGCTCGCAGAACTCCTTCCTACACAATAAGAAAAAATAGACAGAAACACTTAGAGGTCAAGAGAAGAAGGCAAACGTAACAGAAAAGGATTAAATATTAGGCAATGTATCAGTTGCCTTATAAAAGTTAACTATTTTGCATAATATTTAAGATAATGACCTATTTGAGATTCTAACTAACATTGGCTGTCCCAGTGAAATACAGTGAAATAATTCAATTGGTAGGCGAGTGAGCACGTTGAATAAATAGGTTGTAAATAACAGGTTTGCAATGAATCTGTTGCAGCCTTCAGCTGGGCAAAGACTGTTTTTTAGCCTATAGGGCATACGCTCCATCATACAAGTGAATTTTAAGAAGCACTGTAATGGAAAATTAAACTACAATATTTAATAATGAATTCAGTATATGCACTTTCAGTGTGTGCTGACAGGCTCTAGTCTAAGAGGTTAATGTTGTTTGCTTGTATTAGTATTTTGCAGGTGCATTTGAAGTAAATGGTCAGTGAGAGAGAACCATCAACAAGCACATATTCTTTTCACATTCAGTGCACCTTTACCACTTTTATTTTCCTTTTCAAAAAGTACTCAGGTAGACCTCATACATGACAAATGCAGCCACTCATTTCTAACTATATGTTTTTCAGTATATTTGTGTGTGTTATATAAAGGGGGAGCAGAAATCTCTAAGGCCAGGTGTTGATGTTGCCATATGGTCTCCTACACTGATTGGTAGCTGTGGAAATGGTCAGTGTGCATCCATATATTGCGTTTAAGTAGCAACACATAGAAGAAGAAAAAGGCCAGTTTTCAGCCAGTTGAGGCAGTGCAGTGATTTTTACAGGTCCCTGCCAATCATAAATCCGCACATCCAAGAAGATTTTAACTTATTGTAGTCTTTTCTTTCAACTGACAGGATAAGAATCTTTCCGCATTAAGTGCCCTTAAAATTAAAAAGCATTTTATACTAGATCAAATCAGCAATGATAACTTAACAAATACCTTTTCTATTTTTCATTCAATTATTAAAATAGGAAGAAAAATAGACTGCAAGTTAATGATACTTACGCTTTGAGAACTTGACCAAATTCATATTTGTCTGTGACGTCAGTTATGTTATCATAGCTCCGCCCATCTCGCAGGGCAAGGCACCCAAATGGCATGACGGCATTCACCTAGAAATTAAAGAGAAAGATCAAATATGGCTTATCTTTTGGTAACAGGCAAATGGAGGGTTGATGGCGAAGTGTGGATGGGCAAGTTAAAGAGAAACATCTTTGCTGATGAAACATTGTGAAAGCCCTCTGAAAAGTCAACGACGACACAAGCACCCATCACTTTTAGCCTCGATATCTTACCGTACTTTGGTGAACCACTGATACAGCAGGGCAGTTTTCAAAAAATCTGGATACTGAGCCCTTTGGCAGCCTGGTTGCGTGCCAGCTCTGCCAACAGATACTAAGCTTCCAGCTAAGCTTCTCTCCACTCTGATAAAGTCTGTAGATTCTGTACAACGTCTGTCAAGTTCAAGATAAACTTTGTTTAGAAAGGGCAATATCCCTACATCCCCAAAGCAGCTGGCTTCTTTGGATATCACAAGTGTCCTCAATAACACTAACTGCACTGGGTTTTAATGACAGGGGAATGTTTTGTTTGCAGTCTACATTTGTGAGTGTGCACGTGTGTCATTTTTTATTAATCTTCTGACCTACATTGGTAACACACAACCTTTTAAACTTGCAGAAAAACTATATAAATATTCTTCTTTTTCATTTCACAGACACTCCCACTCTTAACAGTAAATACAGTTACTGTGGTATATGCTGTTGGGAATGGACGTAGTTATTTACCCTGCTTTTCTTCCATTTTTTTTCATGTAAGCACTACACAAAGACACCTGTCTTATCATACCCACCCTGAAATAGCATGTGACCCCACTGGAGGTCCCAAATGCCTGGATAGGAATCGAGGATCAAAATGGTGAATCAGCAATCAATACACCACCTCATAACAGTCCTCAGGCAATCCTCACCCACATCGTTCACACGCTCCATCTACTGTTGGAGACAGATTCCCTAGAAGCTTTGGTCATCCATCTTCAAGGTCCTACTCTCCTTCTCTAAATACCTGGCTTTAACCTCTCCTATTGGATATTTCTTTTCAGTTGTTCCTCTTAGATGCCAATACTTCATCCTCTGTGTGTGTGGGGCTGAGGGCTATGTCAAGATTAATCTGTGTTGCTGTCCAGGTTAGGAAATTATGTGATAGCAGCAAATGGGACATTTGAGAGGGTGCTTTGTGCTAGATAGTAAATCTAGGGGGAGCACACAATGTTGTGAGGACTGTTGTGTGACTGTATTGTTTGTGCAAGCATAAAAAAACAGGCTGAAATAAACTTAGAAAAGTCTTAATATGATAAACAAATTAAACAACAAAAGTCGTGCAGAAAATAGAAGAACTAATGGCTGCTTTCAGGTGCTAATTCAGGAACACAAACTGATATCACTGATGTAAAATCCTGACTGTGTGTGTGCTTGTGTGTGCTTGTAGCATCACCACTGCAGATGATAGGCCCAGAGGTTCTTCTGGTCTGTAGTGGAGGAGGGGCTAGAGAGTACTGTGTAATCCAACCACTGGCCATAATCTCTAATCTGCACCCCTAATCCAGAGTGCTGGAATACACTGTGTCTATCTACGTGCACATTAACATGTGCATTTAAGAATGTGCAAAGGCCGTTTTAGATATGTCACATGTGCAGAAATGAGGGTGAGCAGAAGGGTGCATGCTTATGTGTACATGTTGCTCCATATGTGCGTTCCTGCATGAATGTAATGCCCCAGTGAGAGGGCAGGGGGGATATGGAGGGGGATTGTAAAAATCTTGTTTGGCCAGAAGATTATGTAAGTACAACAAAATTCTCAGGACAAAGTGCAGGGAGTGTAGGTGAAGCTCTGTTTTGAAAGGAGAGTGTCCATCCTTGCTGGAACCATGTGTATCTGTTCAAATGTACTTACTGATGAACACTATCTCTGGTCTATGCCTCTTCTGACATTCAAAGCGCTCTTTGACTTTGATTACATCTCTCGTAGTTCCCTCATATTTTTGTTGTTGTGAGTTGCTGGAACATTAACAATGTTCCTTTACAACTGTTGAACAAGTGGTTGTCCTTTCAAACAATATAAACTTCATAGTCATAAATTGCTTCTCTCCTCCCTGGTGAGGTGTTCCAGGCATGTCCCACCGGGAGGAGACCAAGAAGAAGACCCAGGACACGCTGGAGGGACTATGTCTCTCAGCTGGCCTGGGAACGCCTTGGGATCCCCCCGGAGGAGCTGGCAGAAGTGGCAAGGGAGATGGAAGTCTGGGTTTCCCTGCCTTGGCTGCTGACCCCGCGACCCGACCACAGATAAGCAGTGGACAATAAATGGATGGATAGATGGATTATGTGGATGGATCGAGAAATTCCTTTTTCTTTCTACAGTCAACTTGAAATGATAAATAAATGTCTGGTAATGTCTGGTATTTGCTCAAGTTGCCTGCAAAAATCCCTCTAAAGCAAAGATTGGCAGTCTCTTTTTTCCTTAGACATCTTTGCCAAAAAGAAAAGCAATAACCCTTCAATATATTGCCATGCAGATGGTAACAGTGATAGCTAAAATCCTGCATCTCTTCTTCTTGGCTTTGATTTATGCCTTTGCTACTTTTGGCCGCAACAGCAGACTTTAACCAATTGCACAGATCACAGATCCTTCCAGGACCATGGAGTTTCAGTTGCTTTTACCACAAATGCAGGTGCATCTACACATTCCCTCCAATGACAGAAAGCATCATTCAATGACTATATGTTATTGCGATTTGTCACTGGGAAGGGAGACAGAAATTCAGCAGGATTATTTTTTAATGCCCTTTCCAATTTAAGTCTTTACAGTTTTAACCTCTCTTCCTATTCACATTTAGCATGCTGGGAATTTATCTCAAGTTAAAACATAAAGTATTCCTCCCTTTCTGGTCAGATCCCACAAAGTTAGATAATTTAACAGGACAAACTGGTTGTTTTGTAGGTTGCAGGGCAAGTAGACAATCTATGTCTGTCCTTAGTCTACATATTTTGGCATTTTCTTCACCTTGCCCGTGGGGATTGTTCCTGACTCAGATGTCCTGAAAATATATAAAAGCTGCAAAATATTAAGTCACTATAAACCTTGATGTTGGTAAAGAAAAACGTGGGAGGATAAATGGGAGGATTTGAGAGAACAGGATATAAGAGGGAATGAGTGGAAAAGATGGAAGATGAGGTAAGAAGTGTAAAATGATGGGGGCAGAAAGGGAGGGAGAAAAGGAATCTGTGACTAGTTTAAAAGTTGGTCAGAGATACTCAGGACTATATAGTAAATCAGAACACAACTGCAGAGGGAGACTGGGAGTACCTTTCAACCCAACAGCTATGGGAATTTTTGCACAGGTGAGCATCCGTCTGCACGTGTGAGCGCACGTGAGTTGTTGCTAACAGGCTTTGTGGGATAATGGATTGTGTGATTTGTGTTTTGCGATGATATGACTGACTGTCCGCAAAGTCTCATGAAGAAACAGAGGAAGCTCTCTGAAACAGAAAAAATACTATAGGATTCATCTCAAACTCCAGGACTAAAAGTGAACATTTAAACCTTTCAAGCAACCCTCTTTTGAGAAAACAAAGCCCTCAAAAAGAGTGCATCAATTTCCCAAAGTTGAGGAATTTACTCTAATATGATTGCTACAGTTTGTAATTAGCAAATTCAAAGCATGATTAAAAAATGGAAATCTGAGGAAAACATGTATACTATTCTTCTCTCAGATACACAAAGTACACCATAGTACAACTGCATGTGACTGAGGTCATATCCAATGTAGTGAGGTATTTCAAACCAGCTAAAGGTGATGACAAGTCTTCATATGTAAATATTTTGGAAAGACATAGGTGAATAATGTCACAGAGCCCACAGCAAAGAAATGCAACAGCCAAGAGTTCCACTCTAGGGGGAAATAGATCTGTTGCATCAAACTCAGGAACTCTTCCATCACCCCTCTGGCACCAGAAAATACTCTGGGTGATGAATAAATGGATATTTTCTAGATTCCAGAACTAAAGTTCCCATTTAAAGCTTCAGGAAATGTACCAAAATTTCAGCATCATTTACAAACCTTTAGTAGAAATGTGTCAATTTAAGGCAACATGTTTGAGGCCGATATGATTTCCCAGTATCCCTATAGGGAGGATGCTAGGCCCTGGAGAACAACAGTTGTTGTTTTTGCTAAAACAAGCAATAAAAAAAGTGGATGCAGTTAGAGAAACCCAAATGCAACCTGAAACTAATATTATCCTATTTGTAGTGTATCCATGGTTATCTATATGTGTAACTAAAACAACAACACAAATAGGAGATTCTTTGCTGTTTTAAACATAAATTAGAGTTTTGGGTTGCTAAATTCAGAAAATGTACACATTAAGAGGTACTAAGAGATTTAGTTTTCCACTACATACTATAAAGTCCAGCATACATATTCAGACAATATGATACAGCCTTTTTCTCTGTTAATATTTAACAAAACGACGTTCTGAGCACAAAGATACATGTGAGGCAAAACATTTGACTGTTGAAATCATTGTTTTCAAATAAACACAGCAAGAACAGCAGATGAAGCCCCTTTTTGTGATGATGTGAATACTGCAAACCCCTGTACATATCCCCCTATCAGGGAGTGAGTGGAAAGCCCAATACAGGTCAGCAAAAAAACAAAAACAAACCCTCACTATAACACACACTCTGGGAATATCTAAATACATGTTTCTACAGTGATTATCCACTTGGGGAAAGAAACACCATTTCGTGCCACAAAGACTTCATTGTACCTGTGCACCCAGAGCACAAATTACAACACTTTTATGCCCACTGTGTCAGCAATAAAAGTTTTTCTAAAAGAATTAAGTTTGGCATCAGATATGCCAACAGTCTGGTGACTGTCTGTTTCAGCTGAGGATATGCAGGATCTTATTTAATAGTTTCACTGATGACACTCTGATTCACTTGCCTTTTAAATGGCAGGTCTCATTTCAGTAAAGTCACTGCTTGTAGAGCTCAGACCGGACATTTGGAAATGTATTGTGGATAAACTGATTAAATTAATTCTGCACTTAGTGG